CACTGAACATTCAGAAATGAATTTCCCCTTATATTTCACTAGACGGTAAGGTTGTCCCCTTGCTTAGCTAATTAAGCACTATTAATTTGATAATAAAGTTCATTTGAAAAATGATATTACATTAAGAACCGGTCCAAATACTCGTATGTATTGATCATAACGAGTGTAATTAGTCCGTCTAATTAACATAACAACTCTAAAATAATTCAATGACACAATTAGTATTGTGACAAGATGCCTGAAAGCCTGAATAGCGGAGCCTGAGTAGACTTAGGTTCCCGCTGAAATGAACAGGCAAGCAACAATAGAATACCGTTTCTATGCAACTGCGAGGCAAACACACCTCTATAACAAAAGAGGAATTGTAAGGAAATTGTGTTTTCTGTTGGTGTCGCCCCGAAGCTATATAACGAGGATCTCCGGCAGCTAGATAGAATTGCGTATTCAGAGACAAACCCATCTTCTCGTCAGAGAGGATGTTACATAAGGACTATTACCGCAAGAGTTCAGTTGAAATAAAATCTTTGATCGTGGTCCTCAAGGGGCCTGACGCCAAGACGAACTGATTGGCGGTAAACCGCCAGTCGTAAAGTAACTCTGACCCTCTGACTTTCACTAGACAGAACTGAGGGAGTCTCTTATGGTGGCGGAACAAATGAGAAGAGATGGCAACGAGATAGTTGACAGCTGGCAGTTGCAGCTGGCAAGCAGACTTGTACGAGAGTCGGCAAAGAAAAGACGTGGGAGCGGGAAGCCGAAGAATCTCCGTTCTTAGAATCCTTTGCCAGGAAACGACTGGTTAAAACATAGCAGGCTGGAAAAGGCTTAGCGGGTGTTGTGGTGGACTGTGAATTGTGGAGATTAGTGGTAGCGCTGTAATTAAGCGTAGTTTCGAGTTGTGTCAATCCATACCCCGTCTATAGTCATGCACCCCGTAAATACGTGACAGTATCAATTAGGGCTCTAAGAATTAATAATAATCGTATTATGTAAATAAACGTTTAAGACGATGTACCTATTATATGGACCTTGCCTGTTGCGTCGGTTGCAACAATCGATTTATGTTACGTCGAAGTTACCATGTCATCCTCGTTGCGTGAAATGGAGTAAACGGAAACTCTGGCCGCGCCATAGCTCAAGCGGTTAGTCGCTGGCTTCCCACCGCGGCGGACCGGGTTCGATCCCGGGTCTGGTCAAGTGGGATTTGTGGTGGACAAAGTGGCGCTGGGGCAGGTTCTCTCAGAGTACTTCGGTTTCCCCTGCCAATCTTCATTCCACCAGTTGCTCCACAATCACCCTCTCACCTATCATCTGGGGCTGGTACAATAGGCCAGAAGTGGCCGCAGTACAAGGCACTTAGTCCCACCCCACTAGCAACAAAAAAAAACGGAAACTCTAATCCTTATTTGTTATTCGTAATGTGAAATATAAAAAGCAGGGATTTTAATGGTTAATTCTTGAAATGATAACATCAGATTGATATAAAAAGTTCTATTTTTGTAACGAACTACAAATAATTTTCAGAACGCGAATAAAATGCTATTGGAGGACGTTATTCATTCAAAAATATGGCCAGCAATCATGAAATAAATATTTTGAAAGTAAGAATTGATTAAAGAATTAGAGATCAATGCATGGAGAGCATGTAATGAACCCGATTTGGTTCAACCTGGTCCGTCACAGTAGCAATATTATAAAAGGTTAATCAACTCCGTCCAGTGTGACTGATAAAATGTTTTCTTCTTTCTTTCCTTTTTAATGTTTCATCCTTGACACGTTTCGGTCTGAGAGACCATCTTCAGCAGGATATATCAATACATGCAGGAACTACTATTACAATGAATTTGGTCAGTATCAATACTCGTACATGCACACAATATCATCACAATGCCATGGGTATAAAGTCTGAGCCCTTGACAACTACAGCGACATGCATCAATATATTGAAATATTTGTAAGTCATTACAATTAGTCTATTTACAAGTTTGGTTTAAAAAGACTTTATTAAAATTTAGAACCAATTTGGTTCGTGCCCTTTATACCGCATCTCTTCAAAGGAAAATGAGTGTCTACCGCCTCGTGGTTCCGTTGTTTCATGAACAGGACTCTTAGTGTCGTCTGCTGTTCGGGCCTGAAGATTGTCTCTCAGACCGAAACATGTCAAGGATGAAAGGTTAAAAAGGAGAAAAAGAAGAAGAAGACATTTTATCAGTCACACTGGACGGAGTTGATTAACCTCTTATAATGTAATGAATTCATTAAAATATTTTTTGTCCCTCCTTTAAAAGCTAGTGGTTGCTCAACTTGTTAAGAAATCTCCCTTAATTTAAGGAAATAGGTGTTTCATTATCGTATTCACAAGAGCATGTTCTATGTAATATGTTGTAACAATAAACTTCCTCACCTTGAGAGGACTTTTTCCTCTACTGCACCCCCAACCTAGAGGAATTATTTAAGCACAAATTGTTAGATTTCTTGGGCTTAATAAAAATTGCATTTAAAAACCACTGATAGAAGTGAGATCGTTGACTGAACAGATCCACTCTCTCAGTTCAGTGCATTCCGTCACGCGTGCAATAACAGTGTCCTCGTATTTCATAAAGGAATGCTGACGAATCAGACTTGAATTAAAATTGTTGACAACATCCTCTCTATAACATATTCCCAGTAACCTGCTACTGACGGGTCCCTCCATATGGAGGAAGCCTGTTTTATATTATTTTCCCTCTTCATCTTCTTTTCCAGTTCTTTATACTGCGGTTACGAAAAGAAGTCTCACGGATGAACCCGCGAGCTCGTATGCTTCCCCCTCCAGCGTACTTCCCATACATCCCCCTCCATTCATCCAACCATTCTGTTCACACAAATATTGATAACGACCGATAACCATGTAAAGACCTTAATTAAAGATATGCGATAAGGGGCGGATGAAATAGACCAAAGGGGAGACTGCAGTAAAGAGAGAAAAATAGAGACTGAGAATTCCCTAACGCCGTTATCCCCACCATCTACGGAACTTCTTTCTGTGGTCTCAATATAGATAACCCAGTACCCCGCTTTACCTTCAATATGTATATTTTATTCTTGGTCGTTCAACGTTTCTCTTCTGTATCAGTTTATATTGGGACACTATGCTACAAGCTGGAAGGCCGTGGGTTCGATTTCCGATGAGGTCATTGGATTTTTCAATTGACCTAATCCTTCCAGCAGCACTATAACCCTGGGGTCGACTCAGCCTCTAACAGAAATGAGTACCATGGGTGTAAAGGGCGGCCGACGCATAAGGCTGACAACCTTACCGCCATCTGTGAGCCGATTGTCTAGAGAAAATGTGGGAGCCTCGTCGTCTCACAACCCTATGAGACTCCATGGTCTGTTACAGGGATAGCTTTACATTTACCTTTTATCAGTTTATACTGAAGATCGTGTTTCGAATTTTTTATGGCAGCCCCCCCCCCCCCCCCCCCGGGGGGGGAATTTACTTTTTTTTTTTTTTTTTTTCCTACACACCACCACCATCACCA